CAGTGGAACTCCTATTGGATATGGCCATGATGTGCAATTCTTTAAATCATGATAGCATTCTTCACGAACTGCAAACAAGATCGTCCAAACAAGGCGAAAAGAATGTAAACAAACATTTCTCGCTAATTTTTTTCGCATAAGCCAACGCTATATGGAATATATCACAGTTCCTTCTTATTAGAAAGGAACAATTAAAATACCGATCTTATTTGCTGGAGGAGAACTCTTCATAAGAATCTTAGTAACCCATCAAAAGCTGAGACTTGAAGCTACACCCCACGTCACCGCTTTCTTGAAACACCCCATTAGAACGCTGTAACATTTAAGATAAAATCATGTTCCATGAAACCACGAGTTTTTCTCATGTCGCTTATATTTCGTTGGACAAAACTCCTTCCTCAGAGTGGTAGTACTCAAACTCTAGCACAAGCTTCAAAGAACTCAAAAATGTGTTTGTCAGAAGCCTTTCAATCTTTTGATCCTCTTTGGTCTTTTTCGTGCTTGAAGCATCGCCGGGACAGAGCTCTTTCTTTGGAATATTAGTAATCATCTGATAGCGTAATGTTTCTTGATTCTACCAATTTGCCGATTTTCTGGAGAAGTGGTTTAGCAGGAAAGAGAAAATTTACTTTTACATTTATGGCAAGTTCGTTTACAAGCCATTCGACAAGGCGGAGCGAAGTGGGACGGTCGATACTTTGTTATTCAATTGGGAAATTTTTCCTTTTGGAGAAACTCCAGATAAAGCGAGTGCCCAAGGTATTGCGAAAGTTCCTCTACACATTGAAATGCTTTTCGGCTTCCAGCAAATAATAGGCGTGGGAAGAAATTAAGGAGAAAAGAGTATGTGAAGCATAATTAGACTAAGTGCTATAACGTTATAAAACGTATGATTCTAGAATAAACCAATAATGTAGAGTGGTGGTCAAAAACACTTGTGTCAACGGGGATTTGAACCCAGATCTCACTCTTTTCGCGAGCGAGTGCTGAACCGTTGCACCACGAACGCTCGTTTTGCACCCCGCTCTTTCTACGCTACAAAGCGTTATCTGTCAGCGGCCAACCGTCGACGGTCTGGCGAGGCATCAGCTATCTTCATTGAACAAACTTATGCTGACAGATATTGAGCATTAATAATCAATCGGGATTCATTTATTTGACCGCCTCTTGCGGTGGTATGGTCCTACAATCAAACCCAATGATGTAGGAAGGTGTGCAAAAACATCTAAGTCAGCCGCGATTCGAAACCAGACCTCACTCTTTCCGAAAGCGCGTGCTGAACCAATGCACTACCGACGCTCGTCTTTCACATCGCTATTTCTACGCTACAACGCGTTACCTGATAACGGCCAACCATCGACGGTGACGGAAAGGTTATCGCACACCATCCTACATTATTGAGCTTATTGTTAGATCATACCACCGCAGAAGGCGGTCAGATAAATGAATTTCGATTGGTTATAAAAGGTGTTTTGAATAACCGGCGGACTGCAGCTGTAAACTTAATCTCAGCTTTCGAATAGTTGCTAACAATTTTATGAAAAAATCTCCTCAGCGAATGAGATCGCTTTTTCATTTGTTCCCTACTATTCACAAAGAATCAATGGTATCTTTATTTCACTGTAGGAAAGATGGTAGCAAATATTAGATATATAAAATTTTATTTTATCACTTGGTGTAAGACCGAGAAAAAAAATCAATTTGTCCTTTCATTGCTCATATTTTTTCAATCCCAAAAAATGTAGTGCCGCTGTTCCTCTATTCCCTTATATTAAAGCACACAAATCTTTTATCATTTGGAAGAGAAGTTACGTGATATGATGAATTCTCCAAGTGAGCCATTTTGAGTCATTCAACTTTATTCACTGGTTCGTTGTAGAACAAAGAGATGCTATCTTTTCTTCTGGTTCCCCTACACTTCAAATGAAAAGGATGCCGAAATGTAAAAAAAGGATACGATGTAAGAGGCGAAACATGTTTCCCGTCCGAAAGGATAACTATGTCAAGATAATTGAGCTAGAGATATCGCGATAATGTACATCAATTGCGTAAATAATCATTGTCATCAGTTTAAGCGCGTCATGGTAATGAATTTTTGAGGACCGAAAAGTGGATTAGCCACAGTCTGATTGGGCCATTCAGAAATGCAACTATTGGAAAGTAAAAACAGCGGAACAAGCTGAGTGTCGACTGACCCTGTCACTCAACAACATCAAATGATACACTTTTGAAGATATAAACTGGAGTAAGATTGTTGTACTGCTATTTGTAATGATTTAAACATTCACATTGTGTCAACTACTTCTACTACTGCTACACCTATTGACCCTCCCCCTGCAGACCTCGCTAACACATACCGAGAGCCACATACCCCAAGAGGACCCGGGCGTAAGCAGCGGTTTCGGCTGGTGTTTGATAAATCAAGGTAAAAAAAACAACAGTTGGCCTACTTATCAGTTCCAAGATTGTGGTTCGCTACTCGACACGTCAGTTTTACATATATCAGTTCGATATCAAACCACTGACTCAAATTCCCATCCATAGGGTTCGGTATTCGTTCCTATCAATGACGTATAACCCGTGCGTATGAAGTGCAGCAGCCTTCCGTTCGCCACACCAACTACGGATGCCGCCCCTCGTTGCCGTTGTGGCCAATTCCATTTGGCCAAACATGGAAAAGCCTTACGTGTATCCCATCTTGAAATTCCCCCCCCCCCCCGTGAACAAAATTGGGAGAGACCTTTCTACTGAAAAAAAGCAAAAAGGAAGGAAATAGAAGAGAGCCTCGGAAATTTCAATCACATACTAGGATGCGGAAGAAAGTTGGTGTGGCAACTTGTAAAGAAATCGAAATTATATATATATATATATATATATTATATATATACACGTCAATAAAGACTTTTTCGAGAATCGGCCAATTGGGGTTGTGGGAAGCTTAATCTTTCTAATATTAATAATATTCTATGACAAATCTTATCCAGCGAGTAAGATCGGTTTTTTTGATCTGTCGACTTGTAATGCGACAGTATCATCATTTCCCGACAAAGTTTTTTATATATTATTGAGATTCCTTAGGCAATATATGTATGAACTTTACGAAGGAGAACGTTTAACGCCACAAATGCGAGAACACAATAGAAGATCCTAGACGATTGTCGTTATGACGAAAAATGAGAAAATAATGATTAAGGCAGAAAAGAGAAAAATTGAGGACAGTACGGAAGGGAAAGACGACCTGAAGAAGGCAAAGCAGAGGGCATAGAAAGAAAAGGAAAGAGAAAAAAAAAAGGAAGAAAAGAAAGGAAATGAAGGAAAAAGAGAAGGCCAGTGAAGGTGATAGAGGGCAAAAATAGACTGAATTTTAGTTTCATAGGACTTTAAAAGGATTAAAACGATGACGTGCATTGTACGCACCCTTGCAGCGAGAACTCTCTTCTTTCTGAATTCCACGCACAGCTGTCTGACGATGTTATCGCATACCCTAAATAGATCTCTGGAGTTTTCAAATGAATAAAAAACGGAAACCGCGAGGCTCGAACCATCAACTCATCATTTATCATCGATCATGTGTGTACGCGCTCCGCACCTCTAACACTGAGCCAACACGTGCTCATTATATAAAACAAATCAGAATTGAAATCTAAAATAGAAAAGAAATCTAAAAAATTTGAAACAAGATGTTAAGGTAAGTTGGTCAGGAATTTCTTCAGGAATTCATAAAAACCTGCGAGCCTGATTTGGCGGGAAAAAACGTTTTCAAAAATTCTCCCTTCGTTCTACACATGCACGCCTACTATATCCCAAATGCCGTGGCCTTGTAAGCATTGGTCACGAGTAACTGTGCGGGACCATCATTAGTGATTCTACTAGATTCAACTAGAGAACACCTTATTATCAACATTATCGACTGAGGAGTCGCGTGTGTGCGCAGTGGTGAGAGGAGCCTTGCGTGAGCGCACAAGGTTGATAGTTCAATCTCGCGATCATGCAGCAAAATTCCATACCTTCGGGCTCGATATAAATTGGTCCTAGACTGTGCGGAGAGGATAAACAGCACTTGACTGGATGCAGTAGCAGGCCACCACGAGTTATTCTTAAGGCTAGATATACAATGCCCAAGAACCGACTGCTATTACCTCGGCATGCTTCAATAGATGTTCTGATATTCTTTTTGAGCCAAACACGAGGATACATTTAAACTTTATTCACAGTAACGTTTCGGCAGTTCGTCTTCTTCAGAGCCTGGAAAGGTCAAATTGTCTGCAATCCAGTCAGTCAAGCACCTCCATTACTTCTTTAGAAAAATCACCAACCTAGATTTCAATCGCATCAAGCACAAAATCAACTCTCAACATACTCACCGCTTTTTTATATGTGTTCCACTGGAATGATTCAAGTGGGAGATTACCGGAAGGAGATCACATAGGCTCGTAATGCATCTGACCGCAATATATAAAAACAACGCAGTGACATAAAGACGTATATGCACGCACGCAGATCGATGCAAGTATACACACATAAACAGCTGCATCAATAGGAAACGGCTTCAACATTGTAGTTTATGTGACAACCAGTTTTGGTGATCGCTGTTCGGTTGATCTCCATTTAAACAGCTGATGGAGCACGTATGAGAGCGCTATCTTGAAAGTTAGTGGCGGCCGATGTGATTCTAATCTGGATTGGTGATTTTTTCTAATGAAGCAATGGAGATGTTCGGCTGATTGGCTTGTGGACAGCTTGATCTTCCAATCTTTAAGACTGAGAACCGTAGAAACGTCGGCTTTATGAATAATTTATGTCATAAAAATCTCGTGCTTGACTCAGAAAGAAAAGACAAGGACTATCTGATAGAACACTCACACTAGCATTCCTCATCACGTATTGTTATGTTGATTCTAAACAGTTTCGTACTTATTGTGAGTTCTCATTTGAGAATTCCTTGCTTTTCATATCCAGCGATGAACCTTGTGCTCAATGCTGAAGTAACGGATTCTATGACAGAAAAATATCTGGAGAATTTTGACATTGACGAGAACAGTACAATATAAGAAAAAGTTGCCATATATTAGCAAGTGTAAAGCATTTGTTTTCATAGTGTCACAACGAGCTCATAATTTGATCCATTTGATTGTATTCATTGACTTTTCTTATGTCTATCTAGACAAAATGATGCGGTCAAATCAGTGAGCCCTCATAAAGAACTTCACCGCACTTCCTAGTTGGAGAGCGCGGTTTGTCGAGCTTCCGAACAGAGTGAAGCTATCCTCATTACTAGATATCTTCAAGTGCCATCACAGTCGTCTTTGGTTTTGTTGACTGTGAGTGGAAGTGGAGAAACTATTTTCTGGACCTTATCACTAAATACTGCTCGAAAAAAAGAATATATCATGAAAGAAAAACCCAAGTCATCTAATCTCTATTTTGACTGTCACTGCAGTGGTACGATGTTAGTAACCCAATATGTGGAGTGCTGTGCAAAAACGTTTGCGTCAACCTGGATCGACCAGATCTCACCTTTCGGGAGCGTATGCTAACCGGTAGGTAGCGGGTAGTGCAACGGTTATCATACGCTCCCGGAAGAGTGAGATCTGGTTCGAATCCCGGCTGAGCAAACGTTTTTGCAAGCACTCCACATATTGGGTATACAACCTCAATTCGTTCATAGATTGAAAAGAGAAGACAGTGCTAGTCGATCATGAAACATAGTCAAATTCCATAATGGATAGATAGCTCCATAAAATTGTGTGCATTGTTCGTTTATCTCAAGGTTACTGTCATTCTTGTGACTCCATTAAGGCGACAAAATGCATTTGTGCTATCCATAATGACTTGTGATCGTCTACAGTTCAACTAAAAGTGATTGGCAGTCTTCACTACTGGGCTTCATTGAGAGAATTCTCTCATGAATGTAGTCAACGACGACCATAGAGCACAAGAGCATTCGTAAATAGTGCGAAACTCATGCACTGCCATATGTAAATGGTGGCATAACGATCGACGTAAATA